TAGTAACTGGCTCGAAACTCACTGCCTACAACAAGAGTAAATTTAAAAACTCTTCATTTTTTTAAATGGTCTTTATTGCCCCAAAATGGGGCACTCAAAATTCAGGTCCAGTGGAATATTTGACTAAACAAAACTATGGAAGTATCTCTCATGAGTACTGTTTACTATTTGTTAGTGTTCTGCAGTATTTCATCCSAGAAACACAATAATTTAATTTAAAAAGGAGATGAAACAGCTTTAAACTGTTTCATCTCAACACAACATGAGATGTCTTAATATATTTGRTGAAGAGACACAAAAGACCTTTGAGAAAAAGGGAAGATTAAAACAAAACAAAAAAAATCATCATTTCCTGCAAAATCAATGGGAACGAAATTCCAAAGAGGAAAATCTTTAAAATTATGAGGAAATTTGTCAGGATTTCACACTGATAAAYTAAAAATGAAGGGAAAAAATATAAAAAGGAATGCCTTTTTTACATTATTTCCCAATTATATTTAAGCAATACTGATTGTGGTCCAACAGGCTGGTGGCCGGGGAAAGCCACCACAGACACCTGAGAATCCTGCACTGCACTACCAAGAGAAATCCTTACCTTTCTCCAAGAGCTGGAAAAGCATGGATGGGCGGAATCCTGCAGGAACTTCCCCTATGGTGGTCAGTACCTCCACCGTGTCATTCTAGTAAAAAGAGAAAGAAAAACGGATATTATTATTCTCCTATTTAACAGCAAATTCCATCCTAATTTACAACTCTATTTAAAACCAGAAACTTGAGATCTCAGTCACCTCCTGTGAAGCATTTCTGTGGCATTTCTTGTTACCAAAAACCCCCCAAAACACAGATGTTAATTTAGAACAATGGTCTGTGATATGAGCCACAGTGTTTGGGAAAAGGCACARCTTGTCTACAAAACAATGAAGATTAAAATAATAAGATGATGGCAGGTGAAGCTGCTCTGTAAGAGGGGCACCTACCTCTGTGATAGCTCGGACAGCACTCCAGTGGGAATCTGTTCTGCAAGAAAAATGGTAGGATTTATAATAAATTCTCACATGARCAAAAATTTATCCACTAAATATTGGTCTGTTTTCAAGAGCAGCAGCTTCATAACCATATCTGAGACACTMCATTTACCTTTTCTTAATTTCAGTTCCATCTGCTGTTTCATCCACCACTTCTATGTGTTCTGATTCCTCCTGGCTTTCCTCCTCTTCCCTAGGAACCTGAAATTGAGATTTAAAACGACAAAGTGTTTGATTTCTTCTCAGATCTTTTCTTAGAAATGCCTTCTCCAACCACAGCCCATGTTAATATAAGTTTAGAATAACTAAGCTCAATTTAGAAGGGATTTTTTCTCTGTGATACAGAAAACAGAGTCATTTCATTGACACATTTAAACAAACTCCCATTTCAGATAAATTACTAAAAACCCAAATAAATTTACAGCAGSTTCAAGTCTTTAGAGCTGACCTTTAGTGACAAAGACTCTGACTTGTATTCAAGAACCTTCCCTGCCACATATTTGTAAGGCACAGAAACRCTGCTTTTGATAAAAACACAGGGTTATTTCCAAATAACTGGAATAATTTCCAAATAACTGGCATTRTTTCCAAACAACACACTGCATTTTGGCAAATTTAATGCAGATATATGATCATTAATCTATATAAAAGAGCAGAGATGAGATTRGGACAGAAGTGAGATTAGGACAGCACACCAACCGCAAGGTAGGTTCTGGGAACGAGGCCTCTCTCCCCCTTGGAATTTTCAGCTACCCACCAGCCATCCGCCTTCTTGTCRTGTATGAGCAGGATTTCACCTTTCTTTGGCATTGCAGGAAGAGACAGAGACAAAAAACAAACAAATATTTAAATGAAAAAGGACCTAATTCCAATGGATACATCATTTCTTCCCAAATCCCAGAACTGACTGAATCCCAAAAACACAGAATTTGATTATAGCTACTGCTTAATTCAGAGTGACCTGCAGTAAAAACCCTTTACAAAGAGATATTTACCACAAATGTGAGATCCCCTTCCTGCTGGGCATCAAAGTTTCCAACAGCAACACATTCTCTAATGTTTGGATCATCCAACAACTTCTCCTCATCTTCTTCTTCTTCTTCACTCTCTTCCTCCTCACTTTCTTCATCTTCACTCTCCTCCTCTTCTTCATTTCCATCTTCTGCATGAGGACCTTTTTCATGTTTCCCAGCCCTACCCAAAACAAATCAAACTTTTTTTTTAGTATCATTTCCACCAAACTTTTTGAAACTGCTATCTAGCCTCTGCAAGGACTTTTTATCCAGACAAAACATTTTCATTCCTATATTTTAGTCTCTGCCCAAAAGAAACTCCTGCAAACAGCCACCTGATATTCCAGCCATTATCCAGCACCCTGAGAAGTCAAGTCATAAATTACTTATTTTGTGAGCACTTCTTTTTTTATTCTTCTAATATTTTTCAGCTAATGAAGGGGGTGAGATAATGATTTTTCAAGGTCYRTTCCAACCATCCTTTAACAAGYCAGRTTGYATTTRTGTGTTTAAGCTACTCACCCTGGATAATTGCTTGTCGCATTATCCTGATCCAAGACAAGAAGGAGTTTCTGCAGCTGCTGGGAGAGTTTTATCAGCAGCTTTTCTTCTTCTTCCTTCCTCTGGCTGTAATTCCCCACTGGAGCGGGCTCGTCAGCCTGACAAAGAATCCAACAAATGCCCCACTAAATTGCTCAAAGAATCAAAGTTCCCTTACAAATTAAGTTTTCCAGACATGCCTTACAAGCTTTCCCCTTCCTGGGCTGCTGTCACTCCCTTTTGAGTGACATTTTTCTTGCCCTTTCACTCTGCCAAGGTGAAATTCCATGTTGAATTTCGAATTGCATTCTCTGCTTCCAAAGAATGCACTGGGTTAATAACTATTTTATCAAAGATTTTAAGTGCAGGACTTGGACAAAAGAAAGCATTAAAGTAAGTTTTTAAATTATATAAACAGATATAAAAAAAAATGGAGGGATGACAAGCAGAGACTGTGCAGTGCTGGGCATTGTCCTGAAGCATCTAAAATGCAAGGTTGGTGTTCTTTAAATGCTCTCTGTGGTGAATTGTGGAGAAAACCACAAATTACTCTTCATACTTACTTTTCTCAAAGCATGGAGAGCACTCGTATTCTCCTCCACCAGTTCCTTCAGCTGTKTGCATCTGCATTGAAAGCAAGACARGCAGATGGTATTTTCTTAAAATTCTGAGCCAAACCACACCTGCTGTCTGAAAGATGTCATTTTAGGTGTGCTGTGTCCCGCAGGTTGAGAATTCCCAGAACAACAGCAGCATCTGTCAGAATCCCAGAGTAGCTGGGGTTGGAAGGGACGTCTGGAGATCATCCAGTCCAACCCCACTGCMCAGGCAGGATCACCCAGAGGAGGTGACACGGGAATGYATCCAGGTGACTTTGGGATGTCTCCAGAGAGGGAGRCTCCACACCCTCTTTGGGCACCCGTTCCAGTGCTCTGCCACCCTCATTCTCCCTCATCTGAGGTGGAACTTGTATTTTAGTCTGGCAGCATCCCCTTGGCACCTGCCCTGGAGATATTTATATGCACTGGTGAGATCCCCCCTTAGTCTTCCCTTCTCCAGACATCCCTCAGCCCCAGCGGGCTGGAAAAGAGCCAGCCTGGAAAACAGCAGTGGAAGGAGCAGGGAGAGATCCGTACAGTTAGGAAAGGAAAGGCATAGAGGGAATGAACACTGCTGAGGATACGAGAGGGAAGGGTGAGGGCAGGGCCCGGGCGGTGGGAGCAAGCGATGGGATCGGGATGGGGCTCGGGATCCCCCTCACCTCTGCCAAAGGGCCTCCCGCTGCCCGGGGACCGCGCTCTCCGCCCACAGCGCCTCCACCTGCAACAGGGGACACGGGCGGTCAGGGCTCGGGTGGGGAGGGACACCCGCTACGGCACCGATATGGCCATGGTACCGGTGCCGGTACATCCCCGGCATGGCCCCGGTACCAGCCCCGGTACAGCCCCGGCATGGCCCCGGTACCAGCCCCAGTACTTGACCCGGCATGGCCCCGGTACCAGCCCCAGTACTTGACCCGGCATGGCCCGGGTACATCCCCGGCATGGCCCCGGTAGCTGCCCCGGTACATCCCCGGCATGGCCCCGGTAGCTGCCCCGGTACAGCCCCGGCATGGCCCCGGTAGCTGCCCCGGTACATCCCCGGCATGGCCCCGGTAGCTGCCCCGGTACAGCCCCGGCATGGCCCCGGTAGCTGCCCCGGTACAGCCCGGTACCTGCCCCTGCAGCTCCCGGCTCCGGCGCTGCACTCGCTGCAGCGGCCCCCTCGCCCGCCGCTCCGACATGGTCACCGGGCAACGGGACGGGCCCGGCGCCGCCGGATGACGGGACCGGGGCGGGGCCCGCAGCGCTCGGACGGGACCGGGGCTCGGCACCCCGCACCCGGCCCGGCAGCCCCAAAGCTCTGCAGCCAAAGCTTACCAAACAGCACCGGGATCTCTCATATGGGGACAAACGATCTGGCGTTTTGTGATTTCAGTCACGGAATCACAGAATAGCKGGGATCGGAAGCTCTGGAGACCATCCAGTCTGAGCCCCCTGCCAAGGCAGGGACGTTAAGTGTGGGAAAGAGCTTCAAGGTCAAGGCCAAGCTTAAGGGGTGCTGGCCACTGTTTTTCTCTCCCTCAGAGCTTTTATAACTCCATGATACCTTTGAAAACCAGTAGCCTGCAGTGAATCCCCCAGCACCCCTTCTCCCAGATTCAAACAAATGCTCTCCTGGAATTCCACGACAATAGGAAGGCAAGAAGGAATTTGCTACAACTACCTTCACAATKCCTTATCCAAAGTGCCAGGAGGAATTCTAACTCCATTATACTTGCTCGTTCACCCTGCCAAAGCATGAGCTCTTTCACCACTTAACTGTCCCCACGCACACGCATAATGGGACTTGTTACATGTGCCCATAAGGCACATTTTCACATTTATTTCAGAAATAAACACCTAGGAACACCACGTGATGACTTTGTCTAGTTTATTGTGTTGGCAGCGCTTCCTGGCAAGGGCAGAGCAGCGGGCTTAGAGCTGGACAAGGTGCAAACAGCCCGTTGGAATATGGAAATCACAGAATCACTGAGGCTGGAAAAGATCATCGAGTGCAACCCGTGACCGATCCCCACCTTGTCAGCCCAAAGCACTGAGTGCCACATTCAGTTCTTCCTTCCTTGGACACCTCCAGGGACAGGAACTYCAAACCTCCCTGGCGCTCCAGGTTTGGTACCATTGCTTGCATATGCTCTGCGCTTTGTTAGGTCAGTCTGACACAGTYTGGGATCTTGCCTTGTGAAGGGCAGAAGAGAAGTCCTGCTATTCCATGGATGCTGTCCTTCCCCAGAAGTCCTGCTATTCCACGGATGCTGTCCTCTTCAGCAGCACTGCTATTGCACGGATACTGTCCTTTCCAGAAGTCCTGCTATTCCACGGATGCTGTCCTCTCCAAAATCACTGCTATTGCACGGATGCTGTCCAGCCGGCAGCCCTGCCGTTCCAGATGCTATCCCTCTCCAGCAGCGCTTCACCCGCTTCCAGCAGCTCAGGCAGCACCTAGCGAGGCTGCCGCAGGAGCCACCCGGAGCCCGCTGCCAGGGAGGGCCAGGGGGAGCCCGGCTGCTCCGGCGCTCAGGCCGCTTCCAGCTTCTCCTGGGCGGCGGCGAGGCGGCGCTGGAGGTATCGCTGCCGCCAGCGCAGGAAGCGGCGGCGCGCCCGGCCCGCCTGCCAGCCCACCACCACGCCGGCGGCGAAGGCGGCCAGCAGCGCCCAGCGCACGGCCCGCGGCCGCAGCGCCTCCAGCACCATCCCGATCCCACTGCCGAGCCCGGCACCGCCTCCGCTTCCGCCGCCGCGGGGGCGGGACCGGCCCCGTTAAAGGCGGCGGGGCYGGGGAGGCGCCGCGTCCGCCCGCGCCATGGCCGAGGCGGCAGCGCAGGTAGCGACTCGCCCCGCGGGTCACCCGTGCACCCTGGCCCCCTTCTCGCTCCTTCTCCCTCCCTCAGTAACTCCTCAGAGTGTCCCCGAAGCTCCTCACACGCTGCCTTGTGTTTCCCCCSTGTTTTACAGGATCTCCTGCTGGCAGCCGCGTTTGTCTCCGATGCGCAGTACAACAGGAATATTCCTTTTAAGACCTCCCCGGAGGCTGTCAGGTAAGGAGGGATGCGCTCCCTGCCCCAACCACACCTGTGGAGAGCCAACCCCACCCGTGGCCAAACAGCAGCAGCCAAAATAAGTCTGGGGTACTAAGAAGGGTGGGGTGCCAAAAACTGGATTTAAGTTGAAATGCTTAAAACGGTGCTCAGTGCATCCGTGTGTCGGGGATGGGGAATGATAGTAAAAAGTTGTGTTTTGCTGGAGRGGAAARGAARAAAAMCAATGTAAAATCTTCTAAGCCTCTRTGGGAATGAAGAGTTTGGGCAACTTGGTCAGCCCTCAGTTGTGTGGAAGTCGCTGGAGTGGCAGAACCAGAGGGCTATGCAGTTAAATATTTTTTGTTAGCTATGATAAATATTCTGATATTTAACCATTCTCTGAAATAATATTTTGTATACTACTCTGAAAGGCAATGTAGTATCCATCAGCTCTGAGACTGATTAGGAAACAAATTGCCAAAATCCTGGCTGGCAAAAATGTTTGTTTGGGACAACATGCGCATGCATTTGGTGATGCCCTGGGGATGTGCCCTGAAGCYTTTAATTATGGTGCCTGTGCCTTTCTCCTCCAGACTTTATCACCTCTATAACCACTGGATGATGAGAACAGCCACCTACTTCTTCATCTTCCTCAACCTGTCCCTTGCCCTGTTTGAGGAACCTGCKGTGTATCCRCTCCCCTTCCTGGTGAGTTTGTGGTGTAGGAGCAGCAAATGCAGCTGCTGGAGCCTCTTGTTTCAAAGTGGTTGTCAGAGGTGCCAGGAGATAATGGAAGGTGATGTTTTTGTGAATTTCTTTAATCCTCTGCTCTGGTGAKATCCCACCTGGAGTCCTGCATCCAGCTCTGGGTCCCCCTTCCAGCACAGGAAGGACATGGAAAGCTGGAGTGAGTCCAGAGGAGGCACCAAGATGATCAGAGGRATGGAGCAGCTGTGCTGTGAGGAAAGCCTGAGAGAACTGGGGTTGTTCAGCCTGCAGAAGCTGCAAAGTGACCATTTCCAGTACCTGAAATGGCCAAAAAGAAAGATGGAAAGAGACTATTTCCAATGGCCTGGAGTGCCAGGACAGGGGGAATGGCTKCACACTGTCAGAGGGCAGGGTTAGATGGGRTATTGGGAMGGAATTCTTCCCTGTGAGGGTGGTGAGACCCTGGCACAGGTTGCTCAGGGAAGTTGTGGCTGTCCCATCCCTGGAAGTGTTCCAGGCCAGGTTGGATGGGACTTGGAGCAATCTGGGATAGTGGAAGGTATCTCTGCCATGGCAGGGATGAAACAAGATGGTCTTTAAGGTCCTCTCAAACCCAAATTATTCTGTGATTTTATAATTCTATGATCTGATGAAATGGGGACAAAAGAGCACAGGAGCTGGACAGGGACTGTAGGAGCCATTGTGGCCATCAGCAGTGGCCAGTGTGACTGTGGGCAGAGTCATGTTGCTGTTCTCCATCTTRGAGAGCCATTCCAGCCTTCTTTGTGTTCCAGCCTTCAAGTCCAGCCCTCGTGTGAAAGTAGAAGCCAAGTGTTGCCCTTAGGCCTGACTTTTCTGCACCCTTTATTTGTCCTGCCCCAGTATAATTGTGAAAGATKTACTCCTTGAATCCTCAGCAAACACAGATTTGCTGGCTTTAACCTGCCTGTGGCGGGGAATTCCACAAAAGGAAGCCTGCAAGCATTGCTCTGCCTGGTTTTGATTGTGCAGAAGGGAGTGCTGCTGCTGCTGGTTGTGCTGGCTGAGCCCTGCTGTCTCTGCAGGCCACATCAGTGCTGGAGGTGTTGTGCCTTCTGGTGTTCCTCGGCCGGCTGACGCATTTCGCCAAAGTCACCCTGCACAACGTGTTCTGGAAGGACACCAAGAACATYTGCATCGTGGTGGCAATCCTGGTGAGTTGGACCCAGGGGAGGTGGGTTTTTTTTCCTCCTGTTGCTTTCCTGTATCCCAGACCTGGCATACACCAGCCACAGCCAAACCAACCAGCTCTCGCTGACCTTGTGTGTACACCTCTCCTGCATCGACAAAAACCTAGACACATTCCAGCATTATTTCTGGGGGTTTTCCTTCTTTCTCCTACAGCTATCCCTGACAGACTTGGCCATATATGGGGTCCTCAAGCTGTACAATGTGAGGAGCATCCGATGGTCGAGGATTGTGAGGCCCATCTTCCTCATCAACTTTGCAGAGAGTCGCCAGGTAAGGAAGAGGTGGATGGTAGGATGTCCAGRGTCCTAGTTTTTGGGCAGCCTGCTCCTGTCCACAGTCCAGGGGATTTAACAGGTTCTCTGCAGAAAGAGCAGAATTCAGGGTCCTGTGAGAGAAGGTTTGTTTCAGAAGTGGCCTGAAGCAATAATTTKAGGTGGACAAAAGGGTGGATTTATTCTGTACCACAGGAAAAAACTCTGTGTTTCTCCCTGAGTCAGGGAGCAGGTTACTGATTTCTGGAAGTCTCCTGGGTAAACAAGTGTCGTGCTGTTCTCAAACCTGTAGTCTGGATTTGGACTCTGATTCTTCTCGTGGTCAGGGGATCTTTGTCCTGCTGCCAGAGGCTGCTCTGGTCCTGTCTTGAATAAACTGTGGTGTGGAGGCSTGGGGATGGGAACAGTTCAACATTTGGACTCAGAGCATGATTTTTGTGGTCTGGAGGAATGGATTTCTGTCCCTGACTGACTCCTCTGCAGCAAGAATGTCTCAGCAGAGCCCTGGGGCCCTCTGTCCCTTGGCTCCTGAGTTCACGGTGATATAGGAGTGCGGTCTCTCCTTGTGGGATCCCCCTAGCAGAATAAGGAGGAATGGCCTGGGACTCCTGCACCCTTATTTTCAGGGGTTTGAGCCAGAGGGGTTAGGGAGGGGGAAAAGGGGGTCCCACGTTGTCTCTGAACAATCCCCTTGTCCCTGGCAGATCCGGAGGGCCTTTCGCAGCATCCGCAACACGCTGCCAGAGATCACCTATGTCTTCCTGCTCTTCATGTTCAGCCTCCTCATGTTCTCCCTCATGGCCTTGAAGCTCTTTGGAGAGAGGTGTGGATATTTCCTTTGCTCCTGGGATACTTGGGGCGGACTCCAAACAATTCCTAAGGAACGCAAGCACTGCTGATAGGTGCAGCTCCTGTGGTGGGACACGTGATTCCAGTACTTAACTCCAGGCTGTCCTTCTCCTGCTAGGAATCTCCAGACAGCAGAAGGCTTGCCCTACTTCAGAAACTACCTGGAAGTTGTGTTTGACCTCTACGTGCTGGTGACGACGGCCAACAGCCCGGATGTCATGTATGGATGTCGTGTGTAGATGGTCAGATTTTCCACTTGTGGTGTTCTCAGGGCTCCCTGTGTGGCCTCTAATTTGCACAATAGAGTTACAGTTCTTCTGTGGGTGTTGGGCTTTTCAGTACAACTATTTTGGGTTGTACTGGGAAAGTGCTGGAGGAATGGTTTGCTTATGTCCGTGCTGGAGATGTCCTGAGATCCCAAGTGGGATGGCACARGGACCCTGGGAATTTAAACAGAAATGCTGCTCATCCTCCTAGAACAGGTGGAAAAGAGCTGAGTGCAGGAAGGGTCTGCGTCCAAAAAGCAGTGTATGGCTGAGGCATCACCTCAGGTSTGCACTTAAATTTGGCCACACGAGCAGAGATTTCATCTCTTTGCTCTCTTCTGCACCTTCAGTCAGGGCCTGACAAACCAGGATGAAAACCCAGCAGAAGGAAAGTGTTCTCCAGCTGAATTAATGCAGTTTTAGCTYGGGTATTAACTGACAAGTTTGATCTGGCTATCCAAAACAGCACTTGGAAATCCATCTGGACATCTGTTTTCTCATGGATTCCCTTTTCCTGTTTGTCAGTCCAGCAAGCAGCAATCCCTCTTCCCCTCTCCAGGATGCCAGCGTTTGACTTCAGCTCCTGGTACGCCCTGTTCTTCATCGCCTTCGTCATTGTCAACACTTACATCTTCATGTCTCTCTTCYTGGCCGTGGTCTACAACAACTACAAAAAACACCTGAAGGTAACGCCTGGATGGGCTTGTTCCTGCTGTTCTCTGTCAGGAACCTCTGGTTTTTCCCTTGGAAATCTTTGAGAAGGGGGAACAGCTTCTCACCTTGGCTCTGCAAACAGGCACAAACCCACTTCTCATATTGTGGGGTTGTTGGGAGTTCTGCTGTTGGCATTGAATTAACTATTCTGTGGTGTTCAGCAGATAAGATGCACKTTCTGCATTATCCTGGAGGCTTAGCCCTAGCTCAGGAATGCTGTCTCCCTGCAGGGAACTGTTTTTGCACAGCAGTTGTTCTGCCACTGCATGTGCCCTTAAAGCAGAGGAACTGGAAATGAGAGGTTGAAGTAAATTGGAATTCTTGTTCTACCTAAACTGGGTAGGGGCAATTTGGGACTTGTGATCAAAGGGGGAGAGCTGGGAATTCSTGGGTGCTCCCAGGAGGGGGYTGGATCTTTCTCAGGAAGCTGGATCTTCCCCTGCTTGCAGTTATGTGCAGAAGAGGTTCCCCACCCCTTCTCTCAGCAGGATTCACTTGTGCATGGGAAGAATGTGTGGACACATCCTCTTTGCTTCTGCAGCCGTGCAGATCCCGTGATCTTTGTCATCTCCTTCCTGTCTGMCACTACCCTTTGTCTTTCCTTCCGGTTTTTCAGCGTTCTCCTAGCATCCAGCAATCTGTTGATCCTTCCAGAGCTCTGTGTGGAGAGCCCACAGCTGCCTGTCAAACACCATTTCTCACCCTGCCATTAACTGTGCCGTGCTTTGTGTCCAGTGTCATTCCCTTGGGTCTCTTTCCATCTCTGTGCTGTGAAAATGAGATTGTTTGTCAGAAAAAGGGGGAAAGGTGCCTGGAGCTGCCTGACTGTGATGCTCTCTCTAGAACGAGATCCGCAARCTCGCCTACATGAAGCGCCGCAAGATGATCGAGGCCTTCAACCTCCTGAARGAAGAGGAGGGAGAGCAGTTCGTGATCCGAGAAGCCCGCTGGAAGCAACTGGTCAAACTGGTGGCTCCTGACACCAGCAATTCCCACCGGGAGCTGCTGCTCTCAATCTCGGATGACCAGCAGAAGGGATTTGTAGGTTAGCAGTGGGGATTGGGGAGGAGCCAGGGCCAGGATCCTTCAAGGGGTTTGGCATTGGGATTTTTGGTTTGTAATGGCTCTAAAGGGACTTGGAGTCACAGAATCATTCAGGCTGGAAAAGATCTCCAAGACAGAGTCCARCCTGTGACCAATCCCCACCTTATCAAGATTAGGGCACACATCCAGTCATTCCTTGAGCACCTCCAGGAAATAGGGCTCCAGGCCCCTCTTCCTGTTTCCCTCCAGATCCCTGGAATTGTGAAGGGTTATTCTTGCCACCTGTGCTGTAGCCTATGTCCCACACTCTGTGGGTGCCTCTTCATGGCCATTTGACAAAAAAGCCGAGCTCTCCCTGCTGTGTGGGACCTCTTGTTCTCMGCACAGGATGTGGAAAGCCTCCCTTGTTGTCAGATGCCTCCAAGYGATGTGGGTCCCCACACAGTCCTCTGGAGCGGGAATATCCAGAGAGATRGGTCAGTCTCCTCACGCTGAATCATTCTGTGGTGGTTGTTGGCCCTGGCTTGAGCCAATTCTACAGGAATGGGGCAGAAAAGCAGCGTGAATTCCAAGTTCAGCCAGTTAGGTGGTGGACACCACTCTGGGATTGGCTTTGCTGCAAACAGATCCCGAGTCCAGATCGCTGCCATTCCCGTGGGTTTGGATGTGCTGTCCATTTGCCATGAGATCAGGCTGACACGTGACACTCTGCTGCAGACAAGAAGTCTTTCGTGCAGCTGGCAGACCTGCTCAACATCCAGGTGGTGACGCTGAAGATCCGCAGGCACCCCCTGGCGCGCTGGGTGCCGGCGCTGTACGGCTCAGCGCCCAGCCGGCTCCTGCGCAGCATCGTCAGGCACAGGTGAGCTCTGACAGGGACAGAGACTGGCCTGCCCATCCTGCTGGGGGGGACAGACTGTGCCCAGGGTGTCAGTGGCTTTGCCACCACTCCTGGCCTGCCTTTGGTGGTGTGGAGGAACCAGACGTGGCTGTGGGTGAGRCCACACCTCAGCCAGGCCCTCTTGCTTAGCTGGGTTTTGCTGACAGCAGGCTGTGCTTTGTGTTCTGCCATGAAGAACCAAAGTGCTGCCCTTAGAGCTGCTCCTGCCTCAGCAGTCTCTGCTKCAGAGCCTGTCCTGCTGCCTCAGCAGCTCTGTGAGTTCTGGAGTTCTCTAGAGCTCTGTTTCACCTCTGAGCCTTCTCTGAATCCCAGAATCACTGAGGCTGCAAGGAATGTCTAGGGATGGCTTAGTGGAGCCCCCCTGCTCCAAGCAAGGTCAGCCAGAGTAGGGTACTCAGGGCTATCCTGGCTGGGTCTGGAGTATCCCCAAGGACTGGGACTCCATAACCTCTCTGCAACCCATTCCAGTGCTTGATCACYCYCAGTTAAAAAACAAACAAACCCAAACAGCTTTTTTGTTTAAATGGAAGTTCCTATATTTCACCTTGTGCCCCTTGCCTCTTGTGCTTYCACTGGATACTGCTCCAGAGAAGAGCCTGGCTCCATCTTCCCTGCACCTTCCCACCAGGTATTTATGCACAGGAGCTTCTCCTGACCTTTCTCCCTGTCAGGCTGGACAATCCTGGCTCTCCCAACATGTCACATGCCGCTGTCCTGTCCCTCCATTGGTTTTGTGACGCTTTTAATCCTCCAGCTCTGTGTGTTCAGGCCTCTCTTGTACTGGGGAGCCCAGCTGACCCAGCACTCCAAATGTGGCCTCACCAGTACTGAGTAGATGGGGAAAAATCCCTTCCCTGGATCTGATAACCAAATTTGTGTTGGACTTCAAGAGTAAACCAGATCTCTGCAGTGACTGCCTCAAAGTCTCAGATTTGGGGATAACTGATGGGTAAAGAATTTTTGAGACAGGAGGCAAAGAGYTTCTGAAATAACTGTAACTYTGACCTTCYYRGGAGCTGCAGGCTCAYCTCTCTCTGCTCTTGCAGGGCTTTTGTTTGGACTTAYGATGCCATCATCCTGATAAATGCCATCTTCATTGCTCTGGATGAGGAAAGCCCCTACATTTCATACGCAGAGTGGGTGTTCCTTGCTCTCTACATCATCGAGATCCTCCTGAAGGTCTACACTTATGAACCCAGGGAATTCTTTGGCAAAACCCAGTTCTGGAACTGGTGAGTGGGCTGGAAGTTTGTGTGGAGTGTGGTGAGTGCTGTGCTCAGCTCCTCAAGGATTGAAAGGCTCCGAGTTCCTGTGCCAGGGTGTGTTTAAGATGAATCAGAAGATGTTGTGACAAAGCTGTCCCATGTGCCCACAGTCTGAGCTGACCCAGGGCTGCCTGGCTCTGTTGTGAGGAGCAGGGGTCTGTCCTTGTTTAAACCCCACTYCTGTCCCCTGAAATCTAACAGCAGTGCCTTCCCTCGTGCCAGGTTTGATACCCTCATCATCTTTGCTGCCCTGACTGCAACGATTCTCAATGCCACGCTCAAGTCCAGTAAGTGCAGCTGGAGCAGCCTGCATGCCTTGGGAGTCTTGGTGTCCTCCCAGCCTTCTGCCAGCACCTCGGGCTTGGGAGGCTTTGTGACTGGACAAGGAATTTCTGGAGGCTTTCTAAGAACTAACCCAGCCTTCCTCTTCTTTTTCTCTTTATTTTATTTTTTTTAGCTCCCCGTTTATAGTGTTTAACAAGGACATAGTAATAACAAATGAAAGAATTTTATCTAAACACTTCCCTGCTTTATTTTCATAATAAAAATATCTCTGTTCKTTTCTCAGCCATGAAGTACAACAGCCAGCAGATCCTGGACATTGTGTTCATCCTGAGAGTCCTCAGGCTGATCCGGATTGTTGACAGCATTCAGAGGTGAGAGCAGGGTACGAGATGGGTTTTGGGGAGGGGTTGGTCTGTGCCAGAGGCAGTGCCCTGAGTGTCCAGCACTGACCATGGCCATCCCACAGAGCATCCCAAGGGCTTATCCCAGCCTGCCTGGGATGAGCCCAGTGGCTGCAGCCTCTCTGGAGGGGGTGTGGGGAGCAGTGGTGGTTGGGGTGTGACAGTAACCACTGTGGGCTCTTTGTAGGTTCCGGGTCATCATGAACACCCTGATAAACATTGTCCCGACCATGCTGACTTTTGGTGGSCTAACTCTGGTAAGAAAACCTGGTATCTTGGCTCAAAGCCCTTCWGTTTCATGGGGATGTGTTTTAAATCTCACACTCACACTGTTTCCAAGGGGATAAATGCAATTCTCTGGATGGCACGCCCTTGAAACTGTAAGTGTCCATTCCACTCGTGGTTATTGTGCAAGACAAGTGTGCAGAGGGGCTGCATTCCTGCTTTTAGCTGGATCAGGACRTCCTCCTTAGATCCATGGGGTGTTCTGGCAGCCTGGGCTTTGCATCATAAGGAATCAAATCATAGTTGAGGCAAAAGGCTGATTGAGAAACCTGGTTCTCAAATGATTTCCTAAAATTGCCCTCTGGTATGATTTGGGAATGCTTCCTTTCCATCTATTTGTAGTTTCTGGCTAATTATTTCTGCCTGATGATTGCTGCTGGGTGGCCTGGGTCTCCTGGAGTCTGTGCTGCCCTCCAGCTCCTTGCTGTGCCTATGGAAATTGGAAAAGCTGCTGGGATGCTGAGCTTGTCGGGGGGCTTGCAGCTTGCTGGAGAAGCAGGTGATGGGGTTTCTCTTCCCAGGTTGTGTATTGTGTGTTTGCTATCATTGGCATGGAGCTATTCCAAGGGAAAATCCAGTACTTCCCGGCCAACTCAAATGCTCCTCATGCTTTGGAATGTGGGAATCCTGCTCTCAAGGATTCCCTGTTTGCCCGTGGCAAGTACTGCAAGAACAACTTCAACAACTTTGCCTCGTCCTTCATCGTCCTCATGGAGCTCACTGTGGTCAACCAGTGGCACGATATCCTTTGTGGTGCACATTCCCAGCTGGATCCTTGGGAATTGGGCTTGATGGTCCTTATGGGAGATGTGGCAGTTCTCTGATCCATGCTCTTCCCAGACTCTGCTCTTCCCCTGGCACTGCACATGGACAGACAGCAGAGATGCTCCCTCAGAGGGTTTTGTCGGCTTCCTGGTTCCTCCCTCATCTCCTCCTTTCCTCTTTTTCCTTAACTCCCACTCTACTCTTTGCCAATGGATTTGCCAACGTGACAGTTCAGCCTGCCAAGCTCTACTTCATCGCCTTTCACATCGTGATGGTGATAATCATTGTCAAGTATGTTTTTTGGGATTATTTCCTCAATTTTAGATGGAAAAGGGGATCTGCCCTTCCAGGGCACTGCTGGTGGGCCCAGGGTCACCTGTGGGAGACAGGTGGGATGTGTTTAGAGGGATCTGCTRCATCCTTGCCCCACTGAGTGTTGCTCTGACTGAGAGCTCCCCGTCTCCCATGGAGGAGGGCATGGAGCACTGGGAAGTGTGCCTGGGAATATTGAGACAGTCATTGATGGCAGTAAGGAAATGCTGCCTTAATAAAATGCTTGTCGTTTCTTTCAGTATCTTTGTGTCGTTCATCTTGGAAGCTTTCTTTGTGGAGTACTCCCTGGAGAAGAGTGAAGTGGAAACTGCCATCGAGCAGAAAATCCAGGAGCTGGGAATGGGAGTTCAAGAGTAAGCCCCCAGATGAACCTGTGCTGGTTGGCACCACTGCTGAGGGAACAGCACCCTCTGTGCCGAGGGGTGACCTGTGACTCCCCTTCCCTGTCACAAAGTTCTGGCTTATCTTCCCTGAAAACGGAGATTCCTCTTCCCTGTCGTGAATTTCTGGCTCCTCTGTGGTTCAGGTGCCAGCAGAAGGGCACTTTGCTTCCTTCCGTGGCTCTTCCAGCCCAGAATTGCTGTCCAGAGCACAGGAAAGATGYTGGAAAAGAATCCCATGGCTGATGCTTATTCTGTCTGTCAGAGAACTCATCACTGCTGGGCTCCCAGAGTAGGATGTGGCCCCTTTCCAGGGTAATTCCTGACCTTTCYGTGCAGGGATGATCTCCAGGATGAACAGCTCCTTGACAACATGGAGAGTGCAGAGCACGAGCTGGAGAGGGAAGGTGGAGCAAAGCCACAGAGCAAAGGGCTGGTGTTCAAAATTGCCTCCAAACGTAAGTGCATCCCTCCAGGGTGTCCAGCCCAAGGCTCCCAGCTTTTTCTGGGGAAGCTYCAAGCCCTCCTGCTCCCTTGGGGCTATAAAAGCAGCTAAAACCCTTCTGAAGTCTTCGGGACAACTGTGGACACAATGTTTGCTGTTTGTTTTTACTTCTGTAGCAACTTGGCTTCTCCCACCCTGGCCCTGCTGTGTTCCTTGTCTTCATTTCCTCCCTCTGGAGACACTGCCTTGGTGGCTGAGGTCCTGCTGTTTCAAGACACCTGTTATCCTTTCTCCTTCCTCTATGGMCTTTGCCTTCCTGCTGCCTTGGATCATGGGGTGACTATATCCTCCTTTCCTATGGCTTGATTATTTTCCTCCTTCTCCTTGGCTGTTTTTCTGTACCTCAGCAGCTTCCCAAGCTTGTGCCTTAGCATGGTGGGTGACTRGGATCAGGTATCCATTGTGTGGGAATAGAAGGGTTTAACATCCCAAATAATGGTTTTATCCTTGGAAGAGCTCATAGCAGGGAGTGTAATTTGGGGGATTTTCTTGCCTGTTTGGTAAAACTTGAGCCTTAAGGTATCCAGATGAGCAGATCCGGTGCTTACAGGGATTTTTTTTTTTTGTCCCACTCAGGATACAGGACAGTGGATGCTCTGCTCCAGCGCATGTTTGAGGCAGAGATACCCCTGGAGGATGAAGGCCCTTCCTTTGAAGAGATCCTAAACTTGTCCCCCAGCTCGCCTCTTCCCAGGAGCCCGAGTTCCGAGACCGCGGCATGAGGAGGGGATTGGGGAGAGGGAGYTGATTCCCAGCTGTCCAGGTGTTCCCTGGCTGCTCCCACGTGTGGGGCCCGGGTTACACGGTGGGAACAAACAGCTTTGTCTTCTAAAGGAGCTTTATCTCATGTAAAGCCTCGTATAAACGTCTGGAATGTGGGGAGCACTCGAAGTATCCGGCTGTGCCTGGAGAGGGATGGTGCCATGGGCAGTACGTTATGGAATAACTACTCCTTGTAACTGGAATTGTATCGCAGCACTTTTATATGCAGCTCTATGGAYCGGTGTACGCTGAATCAAGCGTCTCTTTAGTACAATAAATTCAGCAGTTTGGAAAAACGATGGAATATCTGAGTTATTGGGGAGGGGAGAGGGCGGAGGCTGCGCCCTGATACTGAGCAGGGCTTGGAGGTGGAAAAAGCATATGGGGAGAGAGTGGGAGCTGCTCCTCGCTCGCATGGCGCCGCGTGCGCTGCCCAAACTTTCCCTTTTGCTTCCCAATTTTCTCATTTTATCCCTCATTTTCCCTTGGGGATTTTGCTCAGGGCGCCGTCCAGCGGCCGCCATGGGAACTGCAGCTGCGGGCTGTGAGGGGGCGGAGCTTTTCCCGTGATTGACGTGCTGTACAGCCAATAGAAAGGCGAGGCGGGCCGAGGGCTGGCCAATGGGGTGGCGGTGCGGGGCCGCGCGCGCCTGCGCGGCCAGTTTGAATCGGCGGGAGCGGTTGGGGCGGGCGGGCATGGACGGGCCCGGGGGGTGAGCGGGGTGACGGGATGGGATGGGATGGCCGCGCGCGCCTGCGCGGCCAGTTTGAATCGGCGGGAGCGGTTGGGGCGGGCGGGCATGGACGGGCCCGGGGGGTGAGCGGGGTGACGGGATGGGATGGGATGGGATGGGGATAACGGGGTGATGGGATGGGGATAATGGGGTGATGGGATGGGATGGGGATAGCGGGGTGATGGGATGGGGGAGTGGGATGGGGATAACGGGGTGACGGGGTTTGGAGCGGGATCACGGGGGCTGCCGCGGGACCCGGAGCCGTGGATGTGGCAGACCCTCCGCCCGTCCCGGCGCTTCCCACTCTCCCTGATCCCGGCCTTTTCCCTGCAGGAGCCTCGAGGCTCAGATCCGGAATTACCGGGGGCCMGACCCGCTGGAGCCGTGGGACAGGTGAGCGCGGCCCGGGCTCGCTGCTGCCCCATTCCTGCCCGGCTGCTGCCCCAGCCCCGGCTCGGAGCTGACTCGGGAATGGTTTCCAGGTACCTGCAGTGGGCTGAGGGATGTCTCCCGCTCCAAGAGAAGCAGAGCCGCTGGCCCCAGCTCCTGGAGGAGCTGGTGAAGGTGTTCCTGAACGACGGGAGGTACCACCAGGACCCGCGCTTTGTGAAGTACTGCGTCAAGCTGGTGGGCATCGCTGCGGGTTCTTGGGGATTAAACTGTCCTGAAATATTCACCCTGCGGTTCTGGGGCTGGAAGGAGCTTTGGGAGGAGCAGGAATTCTGATCCTCTGCAGAACAGCTGAGTCTTGCTGGAGCATGGCGTGTTTTTGAAGCTGTGTAGCTTGAGAGATTTGCCTTAAATGCTTTTATCATTAGAAAATGATGCTTTCTTATGATGATAACTGAGAAGTTCTGGTGATTTTTATTTCGCCTGTGACTCTCTTGGATGTTTATGGAAGTGCTGAGGGCTCGTGTTATCTTATGTTGTGCAGGCAGAGTTCATCTCTTCCCCTTCCCAGTATTTTGAATACATGCAYGGGCAGGGAATTGGAGTGAAGACCTCGGATTTCTACCTGGCCTGGGCCCAGCAGCTCCTGAGAGAAGGCAACGTGCAGGGAGCAGGAGCTGTGCTCCAAAAGGGGCTCCTCAACCAGGCACAACCCCGGGAGAACCTGCAGCAGCTTCACTGGTAACTCTTTTACTCCCTTATTCAGTACTCATAGTGCTCATTATTGCTCATAATTAACCATGGGTAGCATGTGATTAATCATTTTTTTGTGTGTGTGCTTATTTTTGGTAAAGGGATGTTTAAATGCAGTAATATTCCTTCGCTGTTCAATATTTATGTGGTGTTTTGAGATATGTATTAAAAAAAAATCCCAGAGCAAAGCAAATCCCTGAGCTGAGTCTTGGAATTTAGCATTTAACTCGTGGAAGCTAAATGCCAAAAAAAAAACAAAAAAAACAGTAAAATGCAACATAAATTGTAAAACAAACACCCAGTTTTATTCTCCTGCTGCCTCTCACAGGCTTTTCGAGTTTTGCAGCTCTGGAGACATCCATATACAGTGAAAATCATGGTTTTCAGTGTTATATTTCATGGCATGGTYGTGCAAGGGAATCCAAGGTTGCTGGGAGGGGGGAAGGGGTGAGGGAGAGGTGATTTCATGGTAATAACTGAGGTTTTTTTGCAATTTAGCTCCCTGCAGARTTATGAACCTCAGAATCCTCCTTTGCCAGGTGAGGATGAAGACTCCTGTCCTCCTGTYTGATCTGTAGCTCCACTAAATGAATTTTTTACCTCAATGAGTGAATTTTGTCACTGAAGAAAACAAATTCCTTGTAAAAGCCACTTCATTTTCCCTCTGTTTACCTAAAAAAAAATTTAAGGGCGGTGTATTTAAAACAAGTTACTAACTTTCCGGTGCCTCAAGCTAATTAAAATTCATAAAGGAGCAAACAATTTTTCCTCATTAATGAGTAGAAAATATTTCTGTTATGTTTTCTGTGCCAGATGCTGCTGTTATTAAACCACTTCAGACTTCCCATGCTGCAAATCAAATGACTCCCCCAAAAGGTGTTTYAAGTCCTAATGCCTGCAAAAATCAGGTAAATTATGAATTATTCGGGAAAGGTGTTTAACATAGAGTTCGGGTTGGTGAGCTTGGTTGAATAAGGATAAAWTAAAGTGACTGTATCTGGTGTACCTCAAAACTGATTTTGAGGTGATATTGCTGATGTTTTCCTGCTCTCCATAGCAATATCTCAGCTGGGAAGCACTGGGACACACTCAGTGGCCTGACACATTCCCAGAATCACAGGACTAATATTAGCAATGGATTCTGTGCTGGTTGTGCTGCTTGAATTGAATTGAATTTTATTTTTWAATGTTTCATTTCCCTGCTTTAGGGCCCCGATGCTTCTGGTTCCCAATCCTGTACTGCTGGAAAAGAAGTGTAAGTGGTTGGGTGGTCCTTTTGAAGTCCTGCTGTGGGATGATGAGCTCTGTCCCAGGGCAAATCCCTCAAGTCCAGCCCTGTGCTCCCTTTCTCCCCCAGGAACTACGTGACCTACATCTCCAAGTCCGAGGTGGTGCCGAAGGCGCTGTCGGGTGCCACGGGGTGCGAGCAGGTCGCGATGTACGACAAGAACTTGCTCCTGTGTGAAGGCTCTGAGCTGTCCTTTGAGGAGCTGAGGGCCAAGCGATACTTCAAGAGATACGAGCTCCTCAGGAGGCAGCAGGAACTGGGTACCCTCCTTTTTCCAGCTCTCCAAACTGCTGTTTTCTGGTTAAGCTCCCAGGCTCCTCTTTTCAATCCCACAATAGTGGTGTCTCTCCTGAGGAGACAGGAGGCAGAGTGAGCCATTGGGATGTTAAACAGACCGTGGATATTCATTTGTTATCATTGCTCCATCCTCAGAGGAAGAGGAGAAGCACTGCCTGAGGAAAAAGGAGTCGGCAGTGCTGGAGCTCCAAGCGCTGCAGCAGAAGCTGGCGCAGCTCACCCAGCTCAGCAGGAGCCTGGAGGAGACGAGGCTGGAGCCGGCAGCTGAGCCCAACCAGAGCGTGGTGAGTGGATGCTGGGATGAGGGGAATGCTCTGCCTGGGTTTATCCCATAAAATCCAGCTGGAGGAACCAGCTGCCTTGGCTCCTTGTGTTTGGTGTGTTGGAGGAACCAGGGTTGGTTGTTAGCCCGGGCTGGAAGCTGAGCCTGCAATGCCAGTGTGGAATCCCAGCACGACTCACAGCGCTCAGGTTTTAAAGGTTTCACCCCAAAAGGTGGCTTTGCTTCTCCACAGCTTAATTTGAGATGCAGCTGGAAGTTCTCTTGTATTCTGGACATAGAGAACTAACAGAGAAAAGGGGAATGGCTGTMCTTTGGGGGGGATTTTGGATGTTTCTCATCCCTAAAAGTTCTGTTTCGTTCTGGTCACATGGAATGAAGAGGGAAAGTGGGAATGGCTGCATTCAGGGAGAGGTTTGGCTATCACAGAACATTTTTCATCCCTAAAGGTGCCCACACCTGCGAGGCCCAGCACATCCCACGCTCCAGGGAATTGGATGGTGCCTGCTCCAGGGCWGGATGTGCCAATGACCCCAGCTGAGCCACCCCCGTTCCAGGCRCCACCGGCAGCCGCTCCCACCCCGCAGCCAGCGAAGCCCTTCGGTGACCACATCCCAGCTGTGTCCCCCTGGGAAGCACCGGAGGAGAAGGAGCCAGCCAGAGCTCAGGCAGAGCTTGGGGTGCTCCAGAACAGTTTGTTGCATCCTCCCTTCAGCGCTGCTCTGCCTCGAAGCGTGGAAGAACTGTGAGTGTGAGCAGGCTCCTYGTCTGCATTTGTGTCCTCAGGGTCTGCACTGGGAGCTGGGAAATAGCTAAAAATGAGCCTTTCTTCCCCTTCTKGAAAAAAARAAAAAACTGACCTGAAACCAGTATTCATTAGACTTAGATCAAACTTGGTCCTCATTTCCATTAGTAATACCTTTTATCCCATGGCTTAATTGCAGTAAGAGGAAATGGGGTGTGTAATGCCTGGCTGGCCCTGGAATACCTGGAATAAACTCCAGGATTTTGCTCCTGCAGATCCCACCCCAAAGTCTCCAGAAAAAGATAAAAATGCTGACGGTTTTCTCCTGCACTTTTGTGCAATAAAGGACACAGAATTGGGGGCAGGAGGAGAAACCCAGGCTGGCAAAGCAGGGGTGGCTCAGTAGTCTTGGCCAAGGTGGGAACAATTATTCACTCATCCTGTGGAATTCCTTGGAAGCCAGCTGTGTCCAAGCAGAGCATTCAAAGCCTTTTAACCTTTTTAAAGGACTCTGCTGCCTTCCAGGTCATTGGTAGCTGTAGGAGAAACTTCCCAGGGTGATCTTTAATAATATTCCAAAGGRTCTCTCAGTTCATTGAAATAGGGATTAAGATGGGATTTAAATGGCTTTTATTCCAAGGTAATGYTGTGACTCTTTCCTCTGAAGGTCTCCTAACAAGAGATCCACTGGATTAACCCCTGCTGTGGATGTGAAGGAAGGTAAAGGAGCCTTTGGATGGAGGCTGATGCCTTTGGTGTGGCTGTTCCCAGTGGGAATCAATAACTGCCTGTGGACACCACTTCCAACCCTGGCAGCGCTTCCTGACTTCCCAAACTCCATCCCTGCGTGTCTGGGCAAGGTCTCTCTATCCCTGCTATGGATCTGGTCCCTGCTTCCACATTCTGAGCAATTCCTTTTGGAGGGAGGTGGGAATCACTGTTTGCCCTCTCTGGCTTCCTGCTTCACATTCTGTGTTGTGATAGAGCATTCCTAAGAACTGCAGATGGATTCCTTGGAGGCCACCCAGCTGTCCCAGGCCCTTCTTACCTTCCCTGGGAATCTGCCATGCAAATCTCCAAACAAGCTAAAATCTCCCCAAATTCTGCGTTGCTGCTGCTCCTCTTGCTTACTTCCCCGCCTAATGCTCACAAACAATTCCAAGCTCCTTCAGCAATGATCTTGCCATTGTCTTTTCCAGCCTCCAGAGCTGGGAATTCCTCCTTTGCCTCTGGAAATGCTTCCCAAGCCACCCCCAACACCTCGCTGGGAGGAGTGATGGGGATGACAACGCCCTTCAAAGTGCAGCCSTCACCCACGGTCCACACGAAGGAAGCCTTGGGTAGGGTCTGGAATAACATCCTGCTTCCCCTGGAGTTAGTGGGATCTTCCCTGGAAATGTTAGTGGAGCCTTTTTGAACCAAGGGAGCTGTCTAAGGATGGGCATGGGTGCCATTCAGAGGGGAAAATAACATGAAATCATTAATTGTCTATCAGGATTATCTGTGTGACCCAAGACTTCTGAGCAAAAATTGATGTTTTCCCAACATCCCAGCAGCCACTTCCCATGAATTCCTGGATAGGTCACTTCCAGGCTTTTTTGGGAGTGTGCTATCTGAGTTGCTTTTTTCAGGGAATCCTGCTTGGGAGGTGATGACCTAAACCAGGCTAATTAGGGAGTTCACAGTCAGCTCTGCTTGATGCTGAGCTGAATAAAAATCAAAAAAAATAGACCCACAAAACCTGTGGCATTCATTTGTCTTCCAAAAATCTAAGAAATGAAAGGAGAATTTGCTCCCTTAGGAGARCTTGGAATCTCACCTTGGAGAGGGAATAAAAAGGATCATGGCACCCCCAAGCGTGTGTTGGCCAAATTGGCCCTTCCTTGGTCTGTTCAGTTGTTTGGGGTGTTTAAATGCAATAGGGAGGAATAAGTGGTTATTGGCAGTTGATAAATCCAGAGAATATTATTATTAATTAGCATTTAAGGCTGTTAGAGTTAATTGGCATTTGATTTGGCTACTGCACAATGGAAGAGCCTCTAAAAATTATTTTTTTTCTGGGAGCACTATTCCTTTTTTATTTATTCCTCTTTTATTTATTCCTTTTTTATTTATTCCTTTTCTATTTCTTTCTTTCATAGGGGTTCTCATGGATATGTTCCAAACACCCTTCCTGCCTGAGCCATCTCCCCTGGAAGACAGCAAGGAACAATTTGAGGCCTTTTGCAGGAAAAGTGGTGCGTGCTCTTTGTTTTCCCAGTCCATGGAATTCCATCCTTTATTTCCCATTGCCACCCCTCACCAGTCCTTGCTGTAAGAGTCAGCCTGAAACCCAGGGGTTTCAAGAGTGAGCAGAGACAGATTTCACAGCTGAGCTTGGGATGGAAAAATCTTTCCAGGAGTTTGCAGGAAAGATGATTGGAGTGGGAATTGTACAGGTGCTCCTGGTGCAGCTGGATGGAGCCCTGAGCATCACGTGCCAGGACAGGGGGATATGTGGCTGTTCCCATAATCTCTGTCGGGTGAAGGTAACAGGGTTTTCTTTTCAGGGCCTGGTGGGTGTTTGAAAACTAACATTGTTGTCCCTGCCACGCCTGCWTTTGCCATCTTTGAGGATGAGGAGGAGAAGGAGAACAGCAGGTAAGGAGGGAAGAAGGAGCAGCTGAGCTCKGCTCCTTAAAAATCACGGAGAAAATCAATCCTGTTCTGTGGGATTTTGCTGTGGCTGTGCCAGGGTTGGCTCAGATATAGCTGGAGTGGCATGAGAGAAGCAGGAGTTGCTGCTCTGGAATTGCACAAGTTCCCTGTTTGGAAAGTGCTTGGGAGGCTTTGTTCTCTGGAGAACTTTGGGATAACTTGGAGCTGCTGCAGCTTCTCCGAGCTGCTGCAAATAGGGCAAAATTCAAGATAAACCAATCTCTGTTGTGATCAGCGTGCCTGGAAAAGCTCCTGGGGAAAAGCTGTTCTAAACTTTTGGGATCGTTTTTCAGGATCCCACAGCACAAGAACAAACCAGAGGAGCCCAGAACTTTTGGAGAACGTCCCTTGACTGACTGTGCAGCAGAAGTGAGTGGTGATGCTGCAGAGATTAGACTTGGAAGTGGGTTATGCATTTATGGGGATTAACAGAGTGGGTGGATTCACCTCTGTCCTATCCCAATCCCACAATATTCTTAGGAATGACACCTAGTTGAAGGGCAGATATCTTTTCCAATTTCCTGCTGATGGGATGAGCTTTTTTGATTATTGATTGATGTAAAGCTAATGGAGAGCTCCACCCCTCAAGAGTGTGGATTTGTCATCAATTTGAGGGAGGAAGAGACATYTCATCTTCCAGCAGCCACCTTGCAGCTTCCATAGCCAAGGAGGTGGATAAAAGTGGGATGGAAGTGATCCCATACCATGGATTGGCTTTTCCAGGCTCTCATGGCAATTCCTGGTSGTGTGGCATTTTGCTGTGGCTTTGTTTATTGCCAACATTCAGACCTAGTCTAAAACTACAGAAACATGGGATTTAGGTTATATTTTGGGACAGTTTCGATGGTTTCATTTTAAATCTTGGTTGTTTTTTTTTTTTCCCTTTTTCCTGCCTAGGAAGAAACGGGGCCCACGGAATTCCTGCGGGATGATTACACGGTGTGGAAAGGCCCCGGCAGCAGCAAAGCCCTGGCTCCCAGTCCAGACAGCACCAGGGACTTTGCCCGAGCTGCCCAGCTCATGTCCACACCCTTTAGTTACCTGGCAGCTCCTTCCCAGCCCCCTTTGRAGGACAGAGGTAAAAGAAGGAATACTTTGGGTGGAAAACATTGAATTTGCTGCCTCACGATTCCATTTCTGCCCAAATCTCACCCAAGTGTGGCTCCCACTGCTGCCACTCCCAAGTCCCCATTCCCTGAGGAGCAGCAGCTCATCAGCTCTCTGAGGATTTTAAATTGGGATAAGAGGAGGTGGTGGGGGACAAGAGAGTTTTTGTATGTCCAGCTGCTGTTGTGAACYATTCCAAGGGGTTGGGAATATCCAAACATTGGCTGAATCCTGCCTTGGAGCACCTTTATGCTGCTCTGCCTCTCTTAGATCTTGGAATCCATTCCCTGGAGAAATCCCGCTGTTATTTGTCCTTGGATGTTTGAAATGAGGCTTTGTTGTTGAGTTCTGGCTTTTGTGGCAGCAGCTTTCAGAGCTGCTGGGTGAGAATTCTCCAAATTTTCCTGCTTTTGGGGGAACAAACATTGATTTGCTCTTGTTGCCGCTCCCTTTGTTCAGCCTGTGGAGAAGATTTGCCTCAAATGGTTTTGGAGTTCTCTGGAGAACTGCAGAGGCAGCCAAAGGCTAAGAAGTTAAGGTATGCTGCTCCCAATCCCAGTTTTCCAAGGTTTTCCACTGTGTTTCTGTCAGCCTGGCTCTGCCCAACACTCAGGGAGTTAACTGGGGCTGTGGTGACCATACCCCAAAAATTGTTCCAGGATTTCAGTTTTGCCCCACTGAAATTCAAAATGTACTGACCAAAATTCTACTGTTTTTTTAATTTAGATGAGCATGAGAATTATTAGGGAATGGGTAACATGGCTTGATCAAATCTAATGTTCCTAAGAAAATTCCATTTTATTCCCCTCAGTGCTGGCTGTGGTGGCATTTGACACATTTGTGCTCCCTGGAGGTGCCCAACCACCAAGGCAGAAGGTTGACAATATAATAATATAATGAATAATTAATAATATCATGTTTAAATCTGTAGCCCTGTTCTTGAACATGTCCCTGAACACAGAGAGCTAACAGGAAACATCCTGAAACAAGGGAAAGGAATCCAGGGAATTGCTTCCAAACGACTGCAGGAGCAGACGAGCAGAGCTGGATATTCCTCCTGCCTTGGGGTGGATAGAACATCCCAGGAGCAGCTGTGTGGAGCTGGGCAGGACGAGATATTCCAGAGCAAGAGACCTGCAGGTACAGAGCATTCCCTGGTTTTCTTCCCTGCATTCCAAGGGCAGTGCTTTGTGCACTGCAGGAAGCAATTCTGTGATKCCTTCAAGGAGGGATGTGAGAAGGGATGGGTGTGGGTTGTACCTGGATTGCACATTGCTGTGGGCTCTCCAGAGTGCAGGAATACTTGAAATCCTGACAGATTCTGGGCTTGCCAGAATTTTGGGAACCTCTGGATTTCTGGGCCAGATGCAAAAGCTGGAATGTGAAAATCAAGGAATACTTAACTTACACTTACCCTTACCCCTCCTGGCTTTTTTTGGTTTATTCTTTAAATCAGTGATGTTCATTCACACCCAAGCTTGTGTGAACACTGTCTTGTGTTACCTCCTTGAAATGACACCCAGAGCTTAAATGCTTCTCTTTTTTCTCCATGAAGCCCTCGTGGAGAACCCTTGGGACAAGGAATTGATTGGCAAATTCTTGTCGGAGCTTCCGAAACCACTCCGCAGCTACGCCAACTACTTTGAGTGGAAATCTCCTCTTCCATTAATCAAACTGAAGGCTGAGCTCTCACTGGGTAAGAGCTCCTTCAAACCCTTCTCTGCCAAGTATTTCTTGGAGTTTTTTCTGGGAAAACTTCTTGCAAGTATTTGGGAATTCAGCTTCCTTGTGCATGTATATCCAGATTATCTCAGMCTTGGGTTGGGAATTAGGGYTGGGGTTGGTTTGTTTGTCTTTTGTAGTGTGTAGTTTTTGGATGAGGCATTTTTCCMAGTTTTCCCTGCAAACTGGGCCACAGCTCTGCAGCTTTGTGTGGAACAGCAGCGGGCCCGTGTCAACAAAAGCTGTAGGATGGAGATTGCAACATCCCTGTGGGACTTAAACATTCGTGTTTACTTTTCAGGGCATGCCCTTTGGAATTTGACTGCTTCCAGGGGGTCAGGCAAAAATAGAAACACTGGGGTTGAGTGTGTGGCACTTCCAGCACTCCTGCTCTCTCCTATTCCTAGCAAAAAAAGGAAATTTATAGGGAAAAACTGGTTTTAGGCTTAAATAAGTCATTTAAGCTGGTGTTTTTCTATTTTTTCTTATTTTTTCTCTCTGTGGAGTTGGCAAGCAGGATTTAATGTTAATCTCTCAAAGGTTCCAGCTCATTCCATGTGGACTGCTTGGTTGGAGAGGGAGCTTTTGCCCAAGTCTATCAAGCTTCCATCCTGGATGCCAGTAACCCTCGGAACAATCAGAAAGTGATATTCAAGGTCAGTGCAGTTGGGCCAGAGCAGCTCTCCCAGAACAATTCTACAGTCTGACCCTCCCCCTGGGTGGGCTCGCACCCATCCTTGGTCTTTCCACATCAGATCTGTCTCTGGAACCTTTTTGTGGATCTTCTCTCCAATATTTAGTCCTTCAGGAAAGATTAAAACCCCTCTTTAACCCCTGAAGTGAAACMTTTCCAGGACAGAAAGGTGATTTGTGTTTTCTTTGGAGCATCAGGGATACACAAGGAGTGTGTGGAATTGTGACATGGCATTGAAGTCTTGATTTGAGGGGATTAATCAGAGTTTATCAACCTGAGGTTAAYTACTGTGGGTGTGGGGAGGCCCTGGCASAGATTTCCCAGAGAAKCTGTGGCTGCCTCATCCCTGGAAATGTTCAAGGCCAGGTTGGACAGGGYTTGGAGTGACCKGGGACAGGGAAAAGTKTCCTGTGCCAAGGGGTGGAACTGGATCATCTTTAAGGTCCCTCCCAATCCAAGCCATTCTGGGATTCCGGGATAAGTTTGATCAATAGGGAAAATGCTGGATCTGCCATTAAAAACCAACAATAAAACCCAGCCTGTGAGGAACTCCAGCTTTTAATGCYCGCAGCTTTTCCCAGGAAATCCCCTTCTTGCCTCCAGGTCCAGAAACCTGCCAACCCCTGGGAGTTCTACATTGCCACCCAGCTGCTGGAGAGGCTGAGCCCCAGCGTGCGCCACCTCTACATCCACATCTATTCCGCCCATTTCTTCCCCAACGGCAGCATTTTGGTGGGGGAGCTCCACAACTACGGAACGCTGCTCGTGAGTGCCACCAGCTCCCTCTCTGTGGGAGCATCTTCTCCACTCCATTTTATGTTCTTTGGGAGTAGATTCATTCCTTAATCCATCCTGTGTGTCTGTTGGGGACAGAATGCCGTCAATATTTACAAGAAGCTCCCGGAGAARGTGATGCCCCAAGCCCTCGTGATCTACTTTGCCGTCAAAATCCTTCACATGGTGGAGGAGCTGCACAGCTGCAAAATCATCCACGGGGACATCAAACCCGACAACTTCATCCTGGGAGAAAGGCAAGTGTCTCCTGCTGTCACTGTGTGTCCCCTTAGTGGAGCCTGGGGATGCTGACAGGGTGTTTGTTGTGCTCSAAGGTTCCTGGACAATGACACGTGTGACATCGACGGGCTCTGCCACGGCCTGACCCTCATTGACCTGGGCCAGAGCATTGACATGAAGCTCTTCCCTGAGGGAACAGCCTTCACTGCCAGGTGTGAAACATCTGGATTCCAGTGYGTGGAAATGCTGACCAACAGACCATGGAACTACCAGGTAAGGGGTGGCCTGGGATCTTGGASCTTCCCCCGTGCAGAAAAATTGGACTCTGCCAGGATTGAAGTCTCCTGCAGAGCTTCTGCCCTCCACAGGGTGTTCTCAGCTCATTTTGAGTGCTCTTGGTGTATTTTTGACATGAATCTGGTGTGGTTTTGGTTTAGACAGACTRCTTTGGGATTGCAGCCACTGTGTACTGCCTGCTCTTCGGGACCTACATGCGCCTCAGGGAAGACAATGGGGTCTGGAAGCCTGAGGGCAACTTCAGGAGGTGGGTGTCCAAAATATTCCCAAAATCTTTGCCTGGACTTCCTAGAAACCCRTGTTCCTTTGAGGTTGCTTCTGTCACAGCTTTTCTAACAGGGAGCAGAGTAAAAATTAATATTTGAACAGCTGAATTTAGCTTTTTTTGAATTTTTTTTTTGTCCCTTTTTTTGCAGGCTTGCCAACGCTGAGCTGTGGAAAGAGTTCTTTGAGAGCTTGCTGAACATTCCCAGCTGCCACAGCCTCCCTTCCCTCGGAGCCCTGCGCCAGAAGCTGAAGGATTTATTTTGCAGGTCCTATGCAAAGGAAATCAAGTTCCTTCGGAACAGACTCGTCGTGTTGCTCATCGAGCACAAACGCTCACGGAAATAAAGGCTGAGTTTGCCCAGTTTCCAAAGACTTGGGGTTTCACAGATGGACAATCTTTTTGTAGTAACTTCGTTTTAAATAATAAATAGTTTGGGGGTCCACCTCAGTGATGATGGCTTGCATCCTTCTGTGCATTTTGTGGGGAAAAATATGCTAAATGGAGTTGTTAATCCGTTWGGGARGCAATGGGTGYGCTTGGGTTGGGCTCTTCCTGCTCCACCTGTCCTTAGGAATTTCCAGGAGGGGAGAAATGGAGATTTGCAGGTCAGATTTAGATTGGACTGGACTGAACCCACCCTTGGCACCTCCAGTTCTGACTTCCCACAACAACATCACTGGAGCTCAGGGAAAAATCAGAAGACAAATGTCTCTTTGCCTGTACCATGGCAGAATTTTGGGGAAAAAGTGTTCCTTTAAAAGGAATGTTTTAGCAGCCCAAAACCCTGAGGGAGGAGAGGGCAATAATTTGATTTGTGCATCTCCCCACAGGAGGGAGACAACAGCCTTTCCTATTCTTCCTCTTTCTGCTTCTGTTTCAGGGGTGTTTGTTCTCTCTCTGCTTAAATGGTTCAGCTGGAAAGCCACGGTGAGCCTGGGCTAGTCAGGAAGAGCAGGGATGTTGGGATGCAGCAAGCAGGGCTGTGTTGGTTCTAGGGTTTGCTGTTCTCCCTGCAGCTGGGGCTCCTCTCCCTGCCTCCATGGCAGAACCTCTYGGATCCCCCTTGGAAGCAGCCTGCTTCCCATGGCACGTGGAAAAACCTCGGGCTTTGATCCGAAGCAGCTGGTTCCTGACTCAGCTGGAGCGAGCTGCACCAGGAGGCAGATCAGCTGGAGCAACCCCGGAGCTGCTGGAAACATAAACATTGGATGCTGGGGTGGCTTTTTTGTTCCCTTTCTTCCCTTGGTTGCATTTTTTTTATGAGCTGAGCTGGAGCCAGCTGTTCTCTGGCCAGGCCAAAATCTCTGCCAGGCTCAAGTTTTTAGATCTATATTGTAAATTATATATTTTTAGTTCCTCGTATAAAGCAGAGGGAGATGTGGAGGAGCACTTTTCAGAGCGTTATGAGCACGGTGGATCTTTTAACTCCAACTTTCCCCTTAATAAATGCCRATATTTTACTTTAAACACCCCTAACAACAGCCCCCTGCCCCAGCCACCTGCTCCTGCCCCTGCGCCACCATCATCCCATGGGAAGCAGGAGGATAAAGGTTAACACCACCCAYGAGGGGTAAGAATGGATCTGGGGAGCGAGAGGTGGGATGGAGGTTCTGCTTTTCTACTTGGTTTAAACCAAGCTGTTGAAAAGCCCAAGCGTGAAGCCCAGGCCCYGGCAGCACGGTGACATTTCCTCCCCGGCACGCGCCGGCTCCACGCTGTGAAGATCTCGAGGTATCCCCAGAGTTGCCCTTCAGAGATAACTCATCTCGGGGCCTCCGCCACCCACACGGAGAGGAGAGATTTCCTGGTGCGTGGGTGGGTGCCTCTGCCTTTTCTTCTGCAGAAAACCCAGGTTTACTCATTCTTTACCCTCTGCCATCCCGCCGGGGCCCCCCCGGGGTCTGGGGCTCTCTCCCAGCTCCTCCACCCCTTGCTGGTGGTGGCACATCACCACTCAGCTCTGGCCAAACTCCTGCTGGCATCTCCMGGCTGTTCCTGGCCAAATGTCGGAATTGTGGCTTTTAAGGCACTAAGGGTGAAGTGTGAGGTCGTTAAAAGCTGTGGCCACCTCAGTAATTAGTCAGACAAACAGGAATGAAGCAGCAGTCCTGGTCCCCCTCCTTGGAGTCACCCAAGGTGATGTCACCCAATTAGGAGCAATAAATGACTTTAAATACACAGTAACAGGTACCTCATACACTGGTGGCAGCAGGAAATCCAAGTGTCACCCCTTGCCCTGCCCAGGGACCACTCAGGTCGCAACAGGACTGTCTTTGTCCCTTGGTTCATCACAATGTCACCATCACTGTTGTGGGTGTGTGGAGAGTAGTGACATCCCACAGTGAGGTTTTGGTGCTTTGTTTCACTYGAATGTGCATTTATCTAACAAAACCCACCTGTTCTTATCTCTATCCAACCCTTGCTGCTCAAGCACCCCCACGCTGATGATGGTTTGATTTTGGGTTGGGTTTTGAAACTGGGAGTACTGTAAAGGTCAGGCTCCATGTGCTTGAGGCTTAAACCTGATTTTATCTGGCAGCACGAGTGAAATAACATTTATCACGAGGGTTGGAGGAGAAAGAGGAGAACAAGGTGTCATTTTTTTCCGTTGCTGCTTTGTTCAGTTCAGAATGGGTTTGGTGAGCACCTGCTGGGTGGGGAGGAGGGGTTGGGGGTGGTTTTCCCTGGGGGTTGTCATGGCAGTGTCAGGAGTCCTTTCCCTCCAGTCAGGCACYATCTCCTTTCGTCCATCCTGCTCTGTGCCCACTCCCTGGTGGTTGGGATTTGGCTGGGCTCCATGATCTGGAGGTCTTCTCCCAACGTGAGGGATTCGGTGATGGCACAGAGGGAAGGCTGGGAGGGAGATGCCACTGCTGGGATGCTGCAGCAGCCTGGGATCCCCACCATCCTCCTCCATCCTTCTCCTTTCTCCCTCCTCATTTCCATATGGGACACAGGAAATCTCCCTGCACACAGATGCTGATGGGTCTGTATAGGAGGGCTGGGATGAAGCATTCCCAAACAGCATTCCCAGGGAGCTGGGGATGGATGCAGCAGGTACAAGGCAGCAGTGAGGGGCAGGTTTCAACTCCCTCTCTCTCCATCTGTGCCCACAGTGCTGAAAATGAACGATCTTTGGGATCGGCTTTGGTGCAAATTCCTCCGAGATGGCTCATGACCAGAGGAACGAGGATAACGTCGAAACGGATTTGTTCCAGGAGGCTGGAGCTGTGATTCACTGGGGCCGAAATGCACTTGGTGCCTGTCCTGGCTCTGCAAAAACCTGAGGGAGGGAGGAGAAGGGCCAGCTCAAGGCTGGGTGTTGGAAAGGCCGGGCTGCTCCCCATCCCCTTTGTGCTCGCACATGCCGCCCACACAGAAACCAAAACGACCCGGGAGGAGAAAATAGACTCAACATCTGCTGGCTGGGTCGGGCAACCCTGGTGCCTCCAGAGCGTCCCACTCACTCTGCCCCAGCACCACRGGATGCTCCACAGGCCCTAGCCGAGGGGAAAAGCTTTGGGTGGCTCCAGGATCCGAGGGGAGTAGGACYGAGTGGGGCCCTGCTGGCTTTGTGCTGTAGGTACTGCTGCTGGAGGAATGGGAGGAGAGGAACAAGACTGATTTTCCGGCCCTGCTTCTGCCTCATTTTTCAGTGAGGAAAGATAATGGCCAGACCCTGGAGCCTTTCCCTTCTGCTGGCCCCTGCCTTCAAATTTTATCTTAATGAGTCTTCCCAATAAATTTCCCAAATAGTTTTTGCCCACTCSAACATCCACAGACCCTTTTCCTTCCCATCCCATTGGAGAGGCATGAAGGGGGTGGGAAAAGAGCAGGGCAGCCAGGGATGGTCCAGCAGTGTGTGGGACCATCCATGGCTGAGGTGGGGGACAATGGGGTGGGATGTGGGACCAGTGSCTGCCCCAGCATCTGCTCCAGCAGCAGTGCTCAGCCCCTGTGGTGGGTGGGCTCAGTCCTTTCACTCCACAGTCCTTCTTCTCCATGGAAGAGGACCTTCCTCTCCATGGTCGTTTTTCCTTCCTTTCCATGGCACTTCCTCTCCACAGCTGTGTTTCTCCATGGGCTGGAGCTGCTGCTRCTGCTCRAGGGATGCGTCAGCAYCCGTGTGTGTGCAAGGGGTGCAGTGGGAGGGGCTGTGGGTGTTTGTGGGTGCAGGAGGTGCCCTGCAGCAGGGACGTGTGTGTGCAAGGTGTGTGCAAGGTGCGTGTGAAGAGCAAGCACGTGGGTGTGAGGTGTATGCACACACGGGTGCAACAAGGTGTGSCTGGCATGTGTAAGGAGTGTGCGGGTAAGGGCTGTGTGAACCCAGAGGGGTATGTATGTGTGTACAAGGTATGACCGCATGGTGCAGGGTGGGAAAGGTAAAGGTACCCGTGCACAATGCTCTGGGGTGTGTTTGTGTGTGTGTGTGAGCTGTACTGTGTACAAGGCTGGGAGTGCACAGGGCTGAGTGTGTAGGGCTGGGAGTACACGTGTGTGTGCGTGTATGTGTGYGTGAATGGGGCTGTGCCGCGTCCCTGTGTTTGTGTGTGTGTGTAAGGCTGCACCGTGTCCCTGTGTGTGGTGGGGCTGTGCTCGGTCCCGCTGAGTGTGCGAGCCTGTGCCGTGCCCCTGTGTTTACAAAGCTGTGCCGTATCCCGGTGTGCGGGCGTAGGGCTGTGCCGTGTCCCTGTGTGTGTGTGAGGCCGTGCCGTGCCGCGGTCCCTCCGTGCGCCCGATGCCGGGGCGGGGCGGGGGCCGGGGCGGGCTCGGGGCGGTGC